ATGAATCTAACTACAGTTTTCTATGACTTAAGGTTTTATTTGGAGACTTAATTCTATCCATAACAGACCCTTTTCCTACCCTTCTTCCTTCCTTTCTTCTTTGTCTCTTCTTTCTTTTCCCTTTCTCCATTCCTTCCTTTCTTTTTCTATGTATCTATCATCTGTCTCTCTCTCTCTCTTTTCTGCTTCCCCTCTTCCTTAATTTCTCATCTTTTCTTTTATACTCATATTCTTTTTACTCAATTCTCTCCTTTTGACCTTTCTCAACTACAAATGGAAGTCTCTTCCAGCATGGAGAAGCCATGATTTATGGGGAAAAAGACTCAGAACTGGGCTAGAGGAGACTTGGGTTCTTGTCTCAGCAATGCTGATTAACTCCTTCTGCATTCTTAACTCCCTCACCATCTTCCTAGAAAGAATTCAACAGACCAGGAGCATTTACGCTGTGTCAGGCACTGGTAATACAAGAAAATTAAAACATGGCTGCTATGTATTGAGCTGTATGATTTGGCTAGTTCTGTGCCAATCACTTTACATATTTTATTTACTTATTTATTTTATTTATCTATTTTAGTGACAATTCAAGCAGATAAAGTATTTTATTCCCTCTTAACCGAGAAAACAAGTATTGGTCATAGAGGCTCCATGTTCACATTTAGAAAATGATACAGCTGAAAATCTAACCAAGTGCAGTGTTCTAAATTCCCAGGCTGTGAACCATCACACCGACGCAAATTCTACAAATACGTGGTGTATCAAGAGATGTTATGAGATAAAAAAGTTTCTGTAATCAAATAAGTTTGGGACAATATGGGTTAAATAAAATGTGATTGGCTCACATTGGTAGGAAGCAACCAATTCATTATTCCCAACACGGAACATAGGATTCTCCTTTGCAACTCTTCCTATGGCATATACTGCCTCATAGGTAGTTTCTGGGAGAAAACTCAAAAATATGTTTGAACTTAAAAACCTACCCATATTTAAGACTGTGCAGGGCCGAAAGACATGGTTAAGAATGCATATTTATGCTGAATGACATCACAAATGTTAATGTCATGCATCCATATTTCTTCTAAGGATAATTCATAACCAAAGGCGGAGGCATGCCTCAGTGGTGACGACAGCAGAACAAACCTTTACAACCAATTGCTGCCTTTTTAGTAATTAACATGCTCCATATAGATTGAAAGGTCATTTCTTATCCCCTTTCTCTGACAGCCCTTAATATTTACCAAATAGTGTTGCATTGTTGGAAATGTCACAGGCTCTACAGCACAAGGGGGGATTCCACACAGTGATTCATGATGACTTAGTTCATTAAGAAAATTACCACTCGTTTATTTGGATGCTGTATGTCTTCCACTCTCAAAGAATTTTCTTTGATTAGAAAAGTGAATTATGTTGACTGGTTTCTGTATTGTAGGTGGCCTCTAATTAAAATAAAAAGATAATGTGTCTCGGCCTTAAGGATGTATTTCTTTTTTCCATGATCTTTAGAAGTTTCAAGACAAAAGTTGTGATGGCAAATGAGAAGCAATTCTGAGTTGAAATCACTTTCCTTTTTCCAGTAACTCACATCTCATTATGTGAAGTCTCTGTTAATGCAGTTTTTCTGTCTGGAGACCTGGGAGACAGCCCTAACGCCCGCTTCTCTTTATTCCCATCTCCCAGCTCATCACCGGGTTCTGCCTGTCTTCCCTTCTAAACTTTATTTAAACGCTGTCCATTCTTTCCATCTCCATGACTTCTAATCTAACCTCTGTCAATATCACGGCCTTAATAGTCTCCCAAATGGGTTCCTTTCTTCCAGACTACCCTTCATTCCACTAGGTCCCTTAGCTAGAGTAATGTTTTTATAAACTATAGTAAAAGGCTAAGTATTTTTTCACCCAATGCATTGGGGACCAACATTCCTGTAAAATGAAAAAAGAAAAAAAAAATATATATATATGTGTGTGTGTGTGTGTGTGTAGATGTATATTTATAGCTTGGATATACATATATAAAAACATACAATTATATACATAAATATATATATGTATATATATGTGTATATACGTGTATGTGTATATATATATGCTTGAATATTGCAGTAGTTAAAGTGCTAAGAAAGTTTCTGAATACTTATGCTCAAATTCTATACCCATCTAATTATCGGATAACAAACTTGGCAGTATGGGGCTGCTCTGAGACCCACACTTTGAATGTTTCTGAGCTAGAGAGATTTTTTTTTGTTTGAGACAGAGTCTTGCTCTGTTGCCAGGCTGGGGTGCAGTGGCACGATCTCGGCCCACTGCAACCTTTACCTCTGTGTTCAAGAGATTCCCCTGCCTCAGCCTCCCGAGTAGCTAGGACTACAGGCACGCACTATCATGCTGGGTGACTTTTTTGCATTTTAGTAGAGACAGGGTTTCACCATGTTGGCCAGTTTGGTTTTGGTCTCCTGACCTTGTGATCCACTCGCTTTGGCCTCCCAAAGTGCTGGGATTACAGGTGTGAGCCACCGTGCCCAGCCGAGATTTTTAAAATATGTAAATCACATCATGATAATCCTTAATGCTGATTTCTATTAAAATACACAGTAGAATACTTAACACCACCTTTGTGGCCCACCCTGACCAGGCCTTTGCTATCTCCGCAGCTGTTTCCTCCTAATCTGTCCTCCAGGCTTGCTGCCGTCATCCACATTGACTTTTTTTATTTTCAAGTCTTCAAAATGCTCAGTGTCCATGCACCTACCTTTTCCCCTGCCTGGAATGCTTTCCCATTTCCCTCCTCCCCTACACCTCTCGGCCTGGCTCTCTCCTATCTTCAGGTGGCACTTTAAACGTACCTTATTCAAGCAGGTGCTGCCTGATTTCCTCCCAACATCACCGTAAATCCTTAAGTCCCTTTGGCAGATTTAAGATGGATAAAAGCGGCATTCATGTCCTTTGCCTTGAGCCTGGGCAGGTTCTGTGGCTGCTTGTCCAAGAGGATACTGCAGAAGGGAGACTGTGCCAGTTTCCAAACTTGGCCTTTAATTTTGACAGCTTGCATTTGCTGTCTCTTGGAATGGGAACTTGGGGAAGACATCCAAAATAGAAAAAGCTTAACTTTCAAATACCACGCTATAGGGAAGCCCAAGCTAGACACATGGAGGACTCCATGTAGAGAGGAATGCCCAACCAGTTCACACACCAGACGTATGAGTGAAAAAGCCTTCAGGTGACTCCAATCTTAGCTACCATCTGACAGCATTCACAGGAAGGACCCTAAAGGGAAACTGCCCAGCTAAGCCCATGTACCCCAGACCCATAAGACATAATAACTGATTGTTTTAAGACAATACAATTTGTTTGTTGTAGAGCAATAGATAAGTGGAGGAGTTTCCCTACTGTGTATTCTGATGACATCCTATTACTTCTTCTTTATGGAATACACATGGTAAACATCGATATCTGTTTTTCTTGGTTTGGGTTTCTCAGAAGCAGAACCTGAGATAAGCATTTCATTGCAGGTGGCTCCTAAGTCAAGTGGATAACATTTCTTACCTTAAGTATATATTTGTTTTTCTCTTCCCAAAAAATATTCTAGTGCAAAGCTGCCATAATATTCAAAGGACAGAACAGTTTGGAATTGTATTTTCCTTGTTTCTCTCATTATCCAAGGAAGTGATCCCAAGAAGTGCTGTGAGCGAAACAAGGGTGGTTCCTCTGGGAATCATTGAGGCTCCATCCCCCTGGAACCTGCGAGGCACTGTGGAATAGGCCTCAGAACCGTCCCACTGCCCAAGGGGGAACACAAGAAAGCTTGGGTGTTAATTCACCAACTTTCATTCATCCTTGGTTGAGGGTCACTTCTGAAATGTGAATTCTTGGACACTTCAGCCTAGTCACATTTCTGAGAATGGAGAGTTGCCCTCACTAGAGAGATGCAGGAAGCTGTATCCACATGTTCAGACAATGGTGGGTGACCTCTGGGTGAAAGGCAGGGATGTGGCAACTCTTGGAGTTCTATGGAGCAAGGGACAGGTCTATCTCATTCTTGCTTTATATATAGTGCCTGGTGCCTGCCAGGCATGAAATGCATATTTGTTGAATGAATAAAGAAATGAAAAAGACATCTCATTTCATAAAGACTGTAGCTACAATCTGTACCCCAGGAAGCTCAAATTACAGTTTTGGGTTTTGTTATTGGCCTTAGAAAGTCCCCTCCCCTCTCTTGGACTCAGTTCTCTGCATTATGTGATAAAGAAGTTGGAGCTGGTGATTTTCACAAGCCCTTCAGCTACAATATCCTATGACTTAGGAGTAGAATCGACATAGTCTCATTAGGCCAACAGATGATATTCTAAGCTGAAGAAGTTAGTTGTTTTTGTTTTTTTAACCAAGAAATTAAATGAGTATTTTAGCAAGAAAGTGCAATTAATGGAATCATGAGAATTACATTAAGAGCTTAGGTTGTTTTAAAAAGGAAGGCTAATTATTGCATAAACTGGGCTACATGTACACAATGGAATTATTTAGCAGCCATTAAAAATCAAGTTTATGAAGAACATTTTATAATATTGTAATATAGGAATGTTATATGTATAAAACGTGTGTACACTCACACTCGTGCGTTGAGATGTATCTAGAAGATGAAAAGGAACATCTGAGCTATTATTTTAGGTTAGTGGGGTAATAGGTGATTTTTATTCTCAGGTTTAAGCTTATTTACACCTTCTAAATTGTGAACAACAGACATGCATTATTTTTATGATCCAAATATATTTAACAAATGTGCACATAACTGTGTTTAAAAGGTGCAAAGAGAAGACAAGGAAATGCAATCAAGGAAGCATTACCCGGCCCCTCCGAGCTCACTTGCTTGCTCAGAGGAAAGGTCTGGCACTCTCCTCACATAGACATTGAAAGTATTAAAAGAGTGAAAAGTGCTGCATATAATACAACTTTAGGTGCATATTCAAAGACTGTCATGAGACCTGTATCTCTGCTGAATTCTTTATCCTCAGCATCTATACCTATAACATGGGTATAACAATATTGAATTCACCTAATGGCTGTAAATCTGAAATAATGTAATTATAAAAATACTGGTATGCTTAAGGACAATTAAGTTTTCATGAAAGATAATGAGAAACAAAACTAGGAAACTATTAGTAAAGTGCTTTATACGAAATAGAGTTTCAAAGGCAGGGGAATGACAGCCTTGCTTTATTCTACCCAAGTCTGGGTCCTGGATGAAATGGTGGGTGCTCTCGTTTCAGGGGAGGTCAGTGGTGCCGAGGGCCTTGATTTGAACTTAGAGAACAGGGAGTTGAGGGGGAGCAATTTGATCAACTGTTTTCACGCATTTTCAAGATAGTCATGTGAATAAAGGAGCAGTCTTACCTTTTGGTTTATTAGACTGTGTTATGGGCTGAATCGGGCCCTTCTTCAAAAACAAAGACGTGTATGTTAACATTTCAACCCATAATACATCCTAATGTAACTATATTCAGAAATAAGACCTTTAATAACTGATTAGGTTAAAATGAGGCCCTCAGGGTGGGCTCTAATGTGGCTGTGTCCTTGTAAGAAGTGGGAGAGATTTCAGGAGCACACAGCACAGAGGGGTGACCGTGTGAAGAGGCAGCAAGCCTGGGAGAGTGGCCTCAGTGGAAACCAGCCCTGCAGACACATTGATCTTGAACTTCCAGCCTCCAAAGCTGTGAGAAAGTAAGTTTCTATTGTTTAAGCCACCCAGTTTATGGTTTTTGGTTGTTGACAGCCAAAGGAAATTAATATAGATAGTATTAATTAATTGAGTGATCCATTGGTTCATATAGTCAACATGTATATAGGCTTACAGAGATAAAGCACGGTACAGGTGTGTCTCAGTCAGCTCTAGTGGTTATAACAAAATACCAGAGACCGAGTGGTTTGAACAACCTGTGAACCCATTATTTATTTCTTACAGTTCTGGAGGCTGGAAAGTCTGAGATCAAGGTGACCCCAGATTCTGTTCGTGGTGAAGGCCCCATTCTGTCCCCTTGTGTGCTTACGTGGCCTTTCCTCTGTGAATGAGTGTGGAGAAAGCAAGTTCTTTCCCTTCCTATTATCAGGGCACCACTAATCTCCTTATGAGAGTCACACCCCTATAGCCTAATCTCAACCTATTTACCTCCCGAAGTCTTTGATTCCAAATACCACCACATTTCGGGTTAGAGTTTCAACATATGAGTTGGGGAACATAAGCATTTAGTCCATAACAGGGTGCTAGCACCAAATTTGTGTAGATAAAAGCCAGAGGAGGACAGGTTTTTGATTCTGCATGAAGAGGCAATATGGACTCAGTAATCTGAGAGTGGCTGCCCAAGACAGCTGGCCCATCAGTGAATAGACATCTTTTTTCAGATCCTAATTCAGCTGTTCCCCATTGGCCTGGAAATGGCCAAGGAAAATAGGAGGTGTGCTCCCAACATTGCAGTGATGAGTTAGTGGCAGACAGTATTTGCCAAAAATGATCATAGTAGTCCCATATGCTTTTCCTGCAATGTAATGCTAACACCTTCATCTACAATTGAGATCTATGTTTCTTCCTCTTGAATTTGGGTAAGTCTAGAGATTCCTGGGGAGCCAACCTGCTCTAGCCTCCCTCTGTTCAAGTCTTTGCAGCCCAGGCCTCAGATGTGAAAGCCAGAAAGCCTTTCAGGTGATCCCAATCCTAGCCACCATTTAACTTCAATTTCATGAAGATACATTGAGCTGGAACTGCACAGCCACTCCTGAATTTCTGACCCACAGAGACTCTGAGAGATAATCAATGAATATTGCTTTTTTAAGCAACCAAGTTTTGGGGTGATTTTTTTCCTCGGCAATAAATAATCCTATCTAAAGAACGGTAAGGCATAAACTGATATATCACTAAGCTGCTTTTAATTCCAAGTCTGTACCTGTGTCATCATCATTCATTACCATGAATATAATATGATTGGGTTTCTCCATGGGCAAGCAAGCTTCAGGGAGGAAGCCAGAGGGCTTGGGCTTAATATAGCCACCCTCTCACTTTTGATGCTGTTTAAATGATGACTTATGCATGTCTGGTGTGTTTTTCATTCCAGTTTGCCCTGTGTAAATACATTTCTCCAGCCTTGTTATTAACAATGGCCAAGTGGAAATTAATCAGTGGAAAGAGAGCCAGCTCTTTAATTGATGATTGTGAATGCGGAGTTGGGATAAGATCCTGTGAAAGCACTGAGCTGTATTACTTATATGTTTTTCCTCTGACATTTTTTCCTGCCACTAATTCTCAAAAGCAGACATAGGCTCTATTTAAGGCAATTCAGAAACATCTCTAAAGGAGGTGGACATGGACAACAGTCTCCTGAATGGGATCTTTTTTTCTAAACCACCCTTCATCCCACTAAGCCCCTTAGCTACAGTAGGGTTATTGGAATTTTAAAAATTGTCTTCCTCATTCTGTTAATTACTTTTTGGATTGAATTACCAAATTTGCTGAGTATTTTGGCAGAACATAGAAATTAATTTGTAATATCACCTGTAATTATCCATTTTCATCCTCAATAACAGATTTAATAGTTAAGAATATAGAATATGATACTGCTTCTGTCTAATCAGAAGAATCTGAAGCAAATATAATCTATATCTACCAGGAACAAATGTCTATGTTCTAGATGAGAAAGCAACCACAGGGAAGACGTCTCCTCTTAGGCTTCTTTATCGTTCAAGCGCCCGGCATCGTTCCTGACAAATCGTATGTGCAAATAAGAGCTTGAATAATAAATACGTAGAAGATGCTGGAGTAAATATGACATGGAAAAGAATGCAGACATTTGTGCATTTGTTTAGGGAGGTGATGTGTGTGTGTGTGCGTGCATGTATCTCCCATCATGTGGCAAACATGATGCTAGCCCCAAAGATGCAAAGATACAAAAAGGCTCCTGTGATCTTAACCCTCACAAAACTTAGATTCTAATGGAAAACATGATCATTAATTGAATAAAGAATGGTGCATGTGTTGAGTATGTAGAATAACCAGAAACCTATTCTATGACTACAAAACATATGAGAACAACCATACTTAGACAACAAATTTGGTATAATTTAGTGAAGCTCTACCCTTGGACATATACTTTACTAAAATGTGTACATATATTCACCAAAAGACACTTAATAGCATGTTTCTGGCAGCACTATTTGTCATAATTCCAAAATGGTAATGACATAAAATACACAGTGAAATTAGAATACATTTTAAAGTTGTGGTATATTTCCATAATCAAATACTGAGCAGCAAGAAAAAGAAGTGACCTACCGCTATACAGAACAATATTATGAATCTAATCAACATAGTACACACTATATAATCCCGCTTACATGGAGTACAGAACTGAGAAAGTTAATCTGTGCTATTCAAAATAAGATCGTGGTAACTGTGGCTGTCTCATGTCTCAACTGCAAATGGGCATATGCTGGGGGCTGTGGGTGCTGCCTGTGTCCTGATTTTTGGTTTAAGAGTTGTACCAGGCATGTTCTCATTTTGCTGCACATTTGTTTGTACACATCTTATAGAGTAACGGAGAAAGCTAAAATGGCTGAAGGCTTTCTATTGTCTGCAAGTTTAATCCTAAAATCTTGTGAATGAAAATATGACTCTTTATGCATGAGGGTTGATCTACTCTTTTCACCTTATTTTCTTCCCCCACCTGTCAATCTTTGCCCAACATAACTAGCTTCATTTCTCAAGCCTGTCTTCCTCTTTTCCATCTTCTTGGTTCTGTAAACGTGGTTTTCTTGTCTGACATACTCCATTACTCTTCTGCATCATAAATGTCCCTTCTCATTGGATACCCAGGCTCAGCTGTGATGTTATATTTAGTAAAAAGTCATCCCAAATTGCTCTATCCACCCATATAATCCACCTCATGTGTTGTTCAGTTTATCCATTGTATTTCTAATCATGATTTATTTAAAGTTATCCCTTTACATGTTTTATTGCCTACCTCCAGACCTCTACAGGCTGAGCAACTTCAGGAAAGGAAACATTTCTTAGACTTGATCTTCCAAGTGCCTGGCGTAGTTCCTGAAACACCATATGTGCTAATAAATGCTTGAATAATGAAGGCATGAGAGGATGCTGGAATAAATATGACTTGGAATACAGGCATAACCAGATTGTCAAATAAAAAGGAAACTGGGGAACCCCAATTTGTAGAAACAGTGAAACTGTCAGCTCAGATGATTATCCCAAGCAGGAGATGAGACAGTTAAAGCCTTCCAGAGAAGTGATGTCACCAGATAGAATTATTGATGCAGGTGGGAAAGCTGGATAAAGGAAAGTTAGAGCGCATGCACACACACACACACACACACCTACACCCCACACACAGACTTCCAAGCAAATGAATGCTACAGGCAGCTTCCACACAACAGAAAAATACAGTTGCCTCCCTTATGGCTTTTCCATGCATCTAATTCAGGTACCCATTCACTTGCTAATTCATTCATCCACAGCTCTTTATTCAGCAGTGATTACATGCTAAGTATCATTCTTGGTGCTAGACGTTACAGGTGACTCAGTCACTGCCTACAAAGAGAAGAAAAACATGCAAACATGTTATTACGTTGATCCAAAGCTGATTATTGAGAACCAGGAAATGTCTAGCGTCGCATCTACTCTTGATGTCTGGGATCATCACTTTGTTTATATGCACCTTTCTAAATAGTCCTCAAATCACTTGAACTATTTATTAGCTATTACATTTTTCTTGTATGTGTTTCATAGGCAATGCATCATGTTTTCCTTTTGGAAGCTAATAAAGAGAGAGAGAAGAAGAATAAGAATGAGAAGAAGGAGGAGGAGGAGGAGGAGGAGGAGATGTTTAGTAAAATTTATGCTAAGAAGATAAAATACACATTTTATAATTTTCCCAAGAAAAAGTTTCTAACTTTGCACTGGAAAACACTGAGGACACTGAGAAGCTGGGTCAAGCATTATCTCTGCTTGGTTGGTAAACAGGTCACCAGCAAAAAAGGGTTATAGTGATGAAATGTCATCTGTTTTGTATCCTAAAGTCTCTTAAAAGGCTGCTTCACCACTTTGAGGACCTCTTTTTCAAAAAATATTTAAAGATACTGAAAACTAGAACTCAATAAGCAAACCTCAACTTACTTTCTTTTCCACTTTTCTAGGTGTTAATCACAACCATTTCAGTCGGTAAATGACCCCAGAGAGAATAGAGTACTCCCTCTTGTGTGCTCTTACCTTATATATATATCACTATATACCAGCCTCTGACTATATATCTGTATATATATACCTCTGCACAGATATATAGTCAGAGGTTGGTATATAGTGATATATATATAAGGTAAGAGCACACAGTGATATATATATATATATATATCACTGCCCTTAGTAATTTGGTTGTGTACCTATCTCTTGCCTTTGACTTTATACTTCTGGAGTAAAGGTTAAAGATTCCAGATCTTTAATCTTTGCATCATTAACCTTGGGTTCAATGAATGGTACATTTTGGAGATGTGTTTGTGGAATAAACTGAATTGAATGAGTGCTTTATCTTTGGCTGTTTTCCAAATTATTTCTCCAAAAGACAGACATTTGAAATAGTCTACTTAATGCTTGGCTTTGATTTTCTTTCTGTCAAATACTTAGATTTCAAATAGATTTGCAATGATTGTTAAAGCACTGGGTTGGTAAACATCTCCACAGAAGTTCTAGACACTGATGTTTTAATTGTGTGTGGAAAGATACACTATCATATGCAGACACACTTCCCCAAACAGAGAACAAGAGGATATGTGTGATGTCATCCCTCTGGGAATCCCACTGCCCAGTAAAGTAGGAAATCTGCCTTTGAAAGTCGGCACGGCTGTGGGATGCTCAGCTGTCACTTTCTTCTCACATTTATTCTGAATGAGCACCATCCATCCATCAGTGCTTAAAGAGTTTTCCAACAGTACATTGACCTTGAATGCGGCACATTGATTTTCAGTAACGCACCGCAAATAGGGTCGTTACTGAGTCACCCAACAGTGAATGTGATTGGGAACAGATTCCTGAAATTCCGATAGGGTGCCAGCTGCCTCGGATGATGGATCAGCCTACTGGAAGCCATCAATCTCTGCCGGGGTCTTGAAAATGGTGACACCTGTATGAAATGTATCATTATGTACAATACCAGGTAAAACATGAGACCATAACCGGGCTTTTCTGCACCAGTGCGGCCTCTTGGCTGAATGGTCTGTTGTGTTTGCGGCAGTGTTTATTTACCAAAATGCTTTCCGGAGAAGGACCCGCTTGGTGAGGATGACAAAGATGTAAGCACTATAGGGAATGACATCTGCAGCAAGGATTGAAAAACAGATAAAAAGCCTATGTCTTAAGCTGTTAGAGGTTAACGCCAGATCAATTAAGATGATTGTTTCCTAGATTGCATTGGACAAATGTACACACACAAAGGGGGACATGAGCGCAACCAGATGAAAAAAAACAAAGAAAAATTAACTGATGTTAGACTCCAAATCAAACTGGAAAATGATTTTGTGTTCTTGTGAAATGCTGAATTATCTTAATGAGCAGCTTCTTTTCCAAGTGAAGCATCTAGGTCCCTTTTTCACTTGAGTGTAAGAAACCTTAGTGTACGTGAAGAGATTTATCAAGGACTGGGTAATAGTAGGTGCCATGTAATTTTGCAATAAGGTGGTTTTTGGAATGTGTGTCCTTGTTTTGAGAAATGATAGTGTGTTTTATAACTAATAATAATAGTCACTTGTAGAGTATCTGCTAGGTGCCAGTTGCCACTCCAGGGACATTACGGGCCCTGTACTAACTTCCTAAAAACTCCAGCAGGTAGATTTGACTTTCTTGCCACTTTACAGATGAGGAAACTGAGGATCAGATATCTTGAAGAAGTTGCTCAGGCTTATATCGTTATTACTGGCAGAATGAAGATTGGAAATCTGGCTTTTGATCTTTGAGTTCATCTCCTCCATACTTTCCCCTATGGTTCACTCTTGCTTGCTGAGCATGAGAAGTTAAGTCATGAGCATTTAGATATATTACCTGGTTCTAATATTGCCCACCTGAAAAGAAGCAAGTTAGAGCAGATTGCACCTTGATCCCTTGTTCAAACAGGTTAACAGATATTACTGGGCATGTGCAGTTTGCAAAGGTGCTCCTTTGAGAGATGCCAAGCTCATGATTATACTTCCCTAATTATAAGCTTTTGCAAGAGGGAAAGTGTCTGTAGGGGTCTGAGTCTTATAATTGATGTTTGTGAATGCATGCCCCAACCCACCATCCCTCCTCGTTGCAGACAATCCTGTGTTGGACATACATGATCCTCCCTTACCAGTCTCAGGGGTTGATATCCAGCCAGGCAGCACCTATAGTAATGATAGGCAAGGGCCACCATGGGTCAAAACTAAGCCCACAGTACGTACAGCAAGATTTGAAAAATGCTTACCTCACTTCTTTTGATAAATAAGCCCTGCAGTGTTGAGGAACTCAATGTTTGCAGCCCATGTGAGCCGCCTGGTGAGATTCTACTTGCTCTTAGAAGTCTTGTCTGTCTGACTTACTTTTTGGATCAGGCACAAAGGTCTGGCTCCAAAATCTTGTTTCATTCATTCATTCATTCATCTCAATCCCCACTTCCCTCCCAAATTCAAGTTTGAGTCTCAGAGTGTCTGACATGCCTCTGGGCTGTAAGGCTTTTATAAAAGTGATGTCTTCTTTGTCTTTTTTATTTTGAACATCATGTATGAAGTTTTGGAAATAGAAGACCTTCCATGCATGCTCTTTAAAAGACAAAAATATGTTAACATAGAGACTCATGGTTCAGAATATTCTTCCACCTCACAGAGGCTATGAAGCCACATAGGATATTGTTGCTGAAGCACATGGTCCTTCTGTGAGGGTGGCATGGGGAGAAGGATTTCCTGTGATTTATAGGCTCATCGTGGATAAATGTAGCTGCTATGATGTTCCGTGTCTATACAATAGAAAGTTTACAACTATCTGTTAAGAAGCATAATTATTCACTAAATTAGTGGATGCATAAGCACTTCTTGAATGAATATATAACCACAGAGTGAATGAATACTGCAAATAACTAAATATTTGTCCAATAAGTGGATAGATGTCTATTCACTGAATGACTTTAGACACAACTTGGCTATGCTAAGTTTCCCACAGTGCTAGGAATTCAAGCTGAACTGATACAGCGGACAACTTTGAATCTAAACTTGTCAATGCATTGTGTTTGGACTGTCTGAATATCTAAACTCTCTAAGTACACAGTTGATGGAATCGACTGCACAGAAATCTGTTCTCCAAATTCCAAACACTTCCCCATAATTCTAGTTTCTGTGATACATAAACATCCCACTCGTTTTTGCTATTCATTTTCTCACTTTTTGAATGACCAGAAAAATGGTATCCTGGGTGGTGGGCATACTGTGTCTGTTCAAGGAATGAATGGGGCTTCATAAACATCTATTCCAAGTGCTATCAGTATTCATAAAGGAAACCCAACACATGACAAATATGATTAGAAACGACTGTCAAATAATGACAAATCAGTTCTAATAAAAACAGACACAATCTTAACAATTACTTGCAATGCAGGTATTTATCAGACGGGGAAAGATTTTAAATGACCATATTGCATTAAAGAAATCGAACTGATGGAATTTTAAATATGCAGCTTGGCCATTTCACTTTGTTCACGCCTTCCCCCTCACCAGGCTCCTTGCAGAGAAATGGGGTGGGAGTGAATTTAAACAAAGAGTGTTCTAATGTGCCCTGAAGTATTCACATTTTTTACCAGTGTTATCTACAGAGTTCAACTCTACAGAAAAATGAGACCACAGTCTAGAGGAGAGTGGGCCAGATGACAGCCTCTCAGACTCCAATTGTGAGAAACAATGGAGAGACACACACACACAGCTGAATACACTGCGTGGGTGTGAGGTGCGACTGGGCCCCTTGGTAACTGTCCTCAAAGGGGCACTTATTATTAATGGAAATGTCCAGATAGATTGACCTACGGAAAAATAGCTAACCAACAGGACGTCGATGATTAGAAATCCTTCTCTTTCTCTCACTACCAATGCACTCATTGTCTTTCTCTATTTTGGGGACTTGAAACAAATTCTGTGAGTCTAGCCACAAGACACCAGAATCTCAAATGAAAGCTCACCCGTTGAAGCTTCCTGTAGAAGTGGTGATCATATCTTTCAAACACCATCACTAGTAACAATAATAATAACGACCCTGATAATGATCAGAACATTTAGTCTTTTCTTTTGTCTCGAGGATTTTGGTTCATTAATAAAAAAATTCTTTAAAAGTTCTAGAAAAATTAAATGAATTGCTGTCATCCGACATTTAGTCATTGGTGTCCTGATGCCAGGTCTTGAGCTAAACATTGTATAGGTTTTTTGGGGCCTGAAGATTAAATGTTTTGAGGACTCTTTTCAGGAAAAATAATACAAAAATTAGGTATGAAAGTAAATATTTGTTGAGAATGAGAAGATTACAAATTTAAACGAGCTCTAAATATTACAGACATTTCCAGGGTCTTGGAAAGAGCCTCCGCAACGGAAAGGCCTCAAAGCTTAAGCTTCATTGGCTTCAGTGAGGTGAGCCTGCTTCTCACATTATCTGGGATTATATTTTCTAACCCTCTTCACTAGCCTACACACTAGGTGCAACAACTTTGGTATACTGCAGAGTAAGAGGCTATGGCTCAAACAGGTTAAATCACTGAAGACCTCTGATTACAGGGCCAGGATTTGAACCGAGCCTTAAGACCAAAGATATCTCTCTCTCTCTCTCTCTCTCTCTCTCTCTCTCTCTCTCTCTCTCTCTCTCTCACACACACACACACACAGACACACACACACGGAGTTCCCTCACATTGAATCTTGCATTCTAAATGACCCCTCTAAATGAAAAGATAAACTTTTCATACCATATGAGTCAGAGTAGGAGTTCCTGGACTTGGGTACACAGGGTCAATATCCTAACAGTTATCAGCTTCAGTTAAGATTGAGTAAGAAAAGAAAGGAGAGGGGAATAAAGAGAGGAGGGAGGAAGGAAGGGTGGAAAATCCTGCCAACACCCCTTTTTTGATTACTAGCTCTGCTTGGTCATGATGTCATAAAGCGAGTCCCTGATGAGAGACCTTTTTCTCCTTAAAGGGAGAACCACATGGTAAGACGTCTCAGTGGTTGAGGACTGGCTATTGTCTCTGTGTTCTCCATGAAAGCAAGGTGAGCTTCAGAATGAAGAAAGCTTCATCTTGTTCAACATGACTGCTCTGGCATGAATTATATTCTTTCTAAATCTTCACTGAAAAAAAAAGATTCTTTTAACTGAATGTGGGAACGTGTGCATCCTCCAGTATATTTGGCCTTTGTATTCTTCATATGGAGAATAATTGCCATAGAGTTAAGAATAGGCAGGAAAGACTTCTTTTTAAATTGTTTTCCAGAGACAGAGTATGTCTGTTCAGTTGCTGGAGGGGTGGGGTTGGACCCAGGCAACAAAGATTCTAAGTGAATGAAAGACACCTTGTCATCCACTGTATTTGATCTGTGTGTCAGTTTCAATCCAGTCTGTGGTCATCCAAGTGGCAGCAAATAGCTACCTGGGAATGTCACTGCATAGATTAGCTCAGGTGTGGACATGCTCTTTCAGGGCGATGTGGGGAGGATAAATGACTGAGGCCAAGGTCAGCAGACAAGCTGCCCAGCCAGCTGGATGCTTTGTGTGAGCTTCCTGTTTACCCTGGAGCCCCGTGTCCAGTCATTGTCCTTCCACATTGGGTGGACTTCCCATCTTTCTCCACAAGAATTTGGAAAAAGAGAAAAATCAGAAACACATTGTCCAAGCCAAGGTGGCTGGAAGCAGCATGGATGTTTAGAAAGAGCACGAGCCTGGAGATCAGAGAGCACTAGTGTGGGTTCTCAGGCAGGGCCTTGGGACAGTCATTTCAGCTCTGTAAGGCGTTATTCACTCATCCACCAGATGAAAATGATAGAAACATCTACGTCACAAAATGGCCAAACAAAAAATACATGCAAAGTGTCTAACACAATGCTTGGTTCTTACTAAACATTAAAAAAAAAAACCCTAATAGATACTAGTAGTTGTATTACTAGTAGAGTTGTGGTGGTCATTGTCATGGAAGAGGAGGAGGAGAAGTTGCAGGCTGGTGATGGTGGTCGTTATAGTATTAGCAGTAATAGTATCCAGAGGGAGAATTGTGGTGGGGTGGTGCTGCTGGTCCTCGTAGCAGCAGCATGAGTAGGAGTTAAAACAGAGTGGTGGTAGTGGTAGTTGTAATAGTGGTGATAATGGTAGCTCTAATACTATGGTGGTGTTAGGTGTAGTAATAACAGTAGTAGGGGGAGAAGTTATTCCAAGATGATGGGGGTAGTCGTAGGAGGAGATGGAAGATGAGTAGGTGGGGTGATAGTTGTCATATTAGTATTAATGGTAGGTAGTGAGAGGAACAGGAGTTGTAATCAGGTAGCATTGATAGCAGTTACTGCAACACAAGAACAAGCCGGATTTTGAAGAGTGGCAATGGTGGCACTTGTAGTAGAAAGAAGAAGAGAAGAAGGAAGAAGAGGGCTTTAGTAGAGTGATGACGGTAGTCATTGTAGTATTCATAGGGGTCGGAATCAAAACAGGACGTTTTAGACATTGTAATAGTAGGAGAGGTGCAATGGCTCATGCTTGTAGACCCAGCACTCAGGGAGGCCAAGCGGGTGGATGGCTTGAGTCCCGGAGTTGGAGACCAGCCTGGACAAGATGGTGAAACTCCACCTCTACTAAAAATACAAAACTCAGTCGGCCGTGGTGGTGCGTGCCTGTAGTACCAGCTGCTCTGGAGGCTGAGGTGGGAGACACTTGAGCTTGGGAGGTCGAGGCTGCAGTGAGCCCTGATGGTGGCACTGCACTCCAGCCTAGGTGATAGAGTGAGCTGTCTCAAAATAAATAAGTAAGAAATGGTAATAGTGTCATACTAATAGTAATAGTAATGATAACAGCCATAATAATATAGATAAGGATAGTAAGACTAGGTTTGATAAGTGTGCTTCCCGTCTTCTTGAGCCCATGCTCTCAAGATTCCCAGGATGGGTTGAGTGGTGATTACTGTATGCTGGTTACTTTTGAAAACTTTCTAATGTTACAAAATTACAACACACACACACACACACACGCACACACACACACACACACACACACACAGGCTTCCCCTATAAAAATTAAATAATTTCAGAGCTTCTAGGAGATGATCCTGGAGTCTACCCCATAGGGAGCAATGAGTTTTCTGAGGGATACATACTGGGCACACACCTGAGTGATGATGAATGCCCTGGTCTGTTCATTACCCTTGGCAGTAGTGAAAACCGTAATCAAAGGGAAAGAAAGGAGGGATTGGCATCGATTTTGTGCCTACCCACTATCATACCAGACATTGCCACTTGCCTCATTTACTCCTCTGCAGAATGCCAAGAGAGAAGACGTTTATTCACGGAACAAAGGCTCAGGATGTGTGGAGACTTGGCCAAGCTCACACAGCTGGTACAAGGAGAGCTGGGATTCCAGTCCAGGGTGATCCTTTCACCAGGGGCCTGCCCAGATTCCTGCAGCCCTCACTTCTCCCTCTTCTGAGGTCTGTGTTGGGTTACTGAGCACAGAAACCTTAGTACTTACGGTTTTCTTACTAACTCATGAGTATTAATTTGTCCTCATCTAGACTATAAATGTCTCAGGAGGAACCAGAGAATTATCTTTGTATCATACATGATACCCTTTAAAAAACAAAGAACTTTCTTGCTTAACTATGATGTGCTGGCAGTTGCCCTCAAGACGAAGTTATTTGTATAAATAACCAAAGGAAAATTGAACCAATGCCTGGACATATTTTTTCTTGAAAGAAAACAGACATTGATGTGAAAAAGAGGTGGATTTAGATTCAGCCCCAACCCTTATTTTTTTGAGAAATAAGAGAATAGCAAATTACATTGCTTCCCTGAATCTCAGTGTCCACATCTCTAAAGTAACCACCTTTTTCTTCAGATGCTTGGATATAATCTAGTGAGATATGCAACTTGATGCCTAGCAATTGACACGCATGAGAGTAGCTATAGGCAGAAGAGGTACTGGAGCCCTGACTCAGTCACTTACTAGTGATACGAGCTTGGGTAGGCTATTAGCGACTCATTGCCTCGGTTGTTTGCATCTGTAAAATAGAAAGATAAGAATAGGAGTTCACAGAAGAAAACCTTTTTGAATGAATATGCAGTTAGAGTACTTAGGTCTGTCTGATACACAATGTTCTTTAACTTCTAGGAATTAGCATCAGTTATTTTTCGTAATGATAGAAGATGCAATGAGCACATAGGACAGAAAAATGTGCTTTACAGAGAAAGAAACATTGAGATGGGCCTTGAAACACAGGCTGTTTTCTGAACGGCCACGCATTCCAGCCAAAGGAAACAATATAGGCATGGCAGTGGGGAAGGGTGTGGCCTTCCTAGAGGACTGGGAACGAATTCATGGATAATATCTCTTGTCCACGTTATGCCTCTGGGATGCTGGGAGAAGATGAGGGAAGCAGAAGTTGAAGGCTGCTTTCCTGGTGCATCTGGGATGACCAACCTCAAATCTGACATTGGCAACATTTGTACATTTATATTCGACTTACCCTCCGTGTATTTTACTCTGCACACTGTGTACTGATTTGTCACTTTTTTAGGGTAAGATTATGTCTCTGAGTAAGCTGATTAGTGTTAGACTGATTGTTTTAAAATAACTCGAGCGGCATCTGAATTTATTTACATACATGATATTGCCTTCTATAAACACAGCTGTATGCAGAAAGAAAATTCAACGGTATTTTAGGAAGTTAAGCCAACAGTTTAGCTGTAATAAAGGCAGCTTTCTCATTCTGGTTTCTCTTTATTTTTTCTTTCTGGACTAAGTTTTTCTGCAAGGGCTGGGCCTAAATGCTTCTGCCCAGAAAAGTCTCAGGGAGTGGGAGAGTTGATGCTCTGCTGGCCACGGGGAATATCTGTCAGGATGAGGCAGAGTGCGTCTTTAGGGAGGTGGCCTCTCCTGGCACCAATTCCAGGCCAACGTGGAAACAGTCATGAGTCTTAGGGCTGTTTCATCTTACTTCTGTGTAGGGCAAGGCTTTTTTGATTTTGTTGGTTACATATGTATTTATAGAAAAACATTCTGTGCTGCCAGCCTCTCTGTTGGGCTCTGGAGATTTAGTGATAAACAAGGAAGATGCAGACCCTGCCCTCATGAACCTTACAGTCTACAGATAGAGTCAGGTGATTGGTAAGAGGTATGGCAATGACTATGTAAATGCTATTATGATGAATGCAATCAAGTATTAGGTTGGTGCAAAAGAAATTGTGGTTTTTGCAATTAGAAGTGTAATTGCGAAAAACTCACTTGCTTTTGCATCAACCTAATACAAGGACGTGCAATGAGCCATGTCTTTAGAAGAGGGAGCAAGTGACAAAATAACATCGCTCTTTGGAAGTGGCATTTTCACTGAGAACTAAGGGATGAATGTGGATTGACTAGGTAAAGAGGCAAGGAAAGACTGTTAGCTTGAAGGGACGAACTTGGTGCATTCAAAGGAGGAGAGAGAGGTCAGTGTAGCCGAGTAGAAGAGAGTGAGACGAGGGTGCAGAGGAAGTCAGAAGCCAGACCAATAAGGCAGGTGTGGGCCATGCTGTGGATTTTCACTGTCCTCTGAACAATGGGAGTCCCTCAGTGGGTTTAAGGCATGGAGTGACATGGCCAGATTTGTGTTTCAAAATGACCAGGAGAGAATGGATTGATAGGAGACATGACAAGGGACGTGGCACATCCATCAATTGGCTACTGCAGAGGTGTAGGCAAGAGGGGAGGGTGACGAAGATGAGGATAGAGACAGTAGAGACAGAAATGAGCAGTCAGGTTGAGACCCAAGTTGGAGATTTGATCAGTGCAGTTCACGTTTGGCTGGACGTGCGGAAAGGGAAGAATCAGGTCCAATGACCATTTTTGTTTGTTTGTTTTTGGCATGAGCACATTAGTGGGAGTGACACCA